TGGCGCTGCCTGGCCTGCTGTGTTCTGTGCTATCTCTGACTCCAGCATCGGCAGTTCTTACTATTTCTTCTAACTTTAGATAGTTTTCAATGCAAAGAGAGAGAGAGAGAATACCATTTCCCCTTGCAGAGATCCGAAGGCTTTCACTATATCCTTTATACCCACATCTATTCAGCTACTCAGAAACCAGTCAAAAAGTTGTTGGCAGGCAGGTTTTGTCATCAACCAGACACCACTCCACAGACCAGTTTCTTGGTGCTGACCAAACATCATTTGGTTCAAGAATGCATCACCGCTGTCTCAAAGGTAACTAATGATGGACGGTAAACTTTGGCTTGGCCAGTGATGCCACATCCCATGAATGAGTTAAAATGTACAGTATCCTAGTCTTCATTAATAATAGTGTAGAGTACAAAAATAAAGAGCTGTGTTCCTTTGGAGTCTGAACAAAGTTTTCAGAACTGGGTGCTACACTTCACAATGTAAGGTGCAACCAAGATTCATAAGAATGGCCTTAGGAATGAGGAACTTCAATTTTAAAAAAAATTGAAGAGACCAGGGAGGAGAGGAGATTTGATAAAGGTACTTAAAATTACTAGGTCTGGACAGAATATCTGAGGAGAAACAGTTTCCATTGGTGGAAGGATCAGGTACAAGTAGAGACAGATTTGAGGTAATTGTTAAAGGATAAGGAAAAATGTATTCTTATAGTGAGCAGTTAGGATCTGGAATGTGCTGTCTGAGAATGTGGTGGAGATGGCTTCAATTTCACAAGGAATTGGATTTGTATCTGAAAAGGAAATAATGACTTTAAGAGTTAAGAAAGGTTGGGGGCGCGCGGTAATTGCTCCTTTCGGGAGCTGGTGTAGACAGAATGGCTGAATGTGTTGTAACAATTCTGAGGTTTTGAATTGCTTGAAGGGTAGTGGGTCCAGAGTCATTAGTAACGTTCAAAAGGAAGTTGGATCAGTACTTGTAAATGAAACATTTGCAAAGCTACCAGGTAATGGATGTATAGAACAAATTCACTAGCTCTTCAGAAGAGCCGGGCACATGCCTGCTGGACCAACTAGCCTCCTTCAGGTTTCTTTACATAATGATTCTGTTAGTGAGGATTGGCTGAGCTCCACTTCGAATTCGTTGGGATTGATCGTGGAGCTAAAACCATTTACCCAGTTCAAAAAGCAAACACTCAGCCTGATATTAGGGAAGGTGATCCGAACCTTGCATAACGTTTCCATCACAAGAATCTGTGTCTTCTGGAGAAGAGTTTTTTTATAAAAACTTAGCACAAGGGAAAAGAACAGCAAAGAGGAACATACTGTAGATGTTGGGATATAATTGGAACAGCCATTCTTTCTGACGCCAGAAATAACTTGATTTTGGGTTCGATTTGTTTTGTTCTGTAGGATGAACCACCCAATAAAAAGAAGCGTCTGGATTTGTCAGCAGGTTGGATTGGTGAGTAGCCCCTTGGATCATAGAATTGTTACAATGCAGAAGGAGACTTTTGAGCCCAACCTGCCTGGGCCAGCTTTCCAAATGAGCATTATGACCTAGTGTCATTCTTTGTCCTGTCCCCATAGCCCTGCATATTATTTCTGTTTAAATAATCATCCAGTTGCCTCTTGAACATGTATATTGAACCTGTCTGCATCATGCTTCTAGGAAGAGCATTCCAAGCACAAATTATTTGCTTGTGAATTTTTTTTTTCTTGTGTCACATTTGGTTCTTTTGCAAATCAGTAATTTTCAATCACTTTTCTGAGGAGTGGGCACAAGTTATCAGGGTTATGTACAGTGAAATATCATCTAAGGTGTAATTAAATTAAAAAGCATGGTATTATTTGACTTCATCTTATGTGGTTTGATGACAGAATCCTACTGTTCTTCTCTTTTCATTCGCCTCGTACCAAAGATTGAGATAGGCAGGAAATGTGTGATTGTCAAGTCTTTCTCATCCATTTGTCCTGTTTCGCACACTCGAACAATTGACTAGAATGTTGCCAGCTTACACATACTCTGAGTAACATGGCACGTTACATTGGGAGTGGGGGGAAGACGGCAAGCATGTACTCCCTGATCACTTTTACATTGCATTCCAGCTGGTGATGTTGCTTTACTGGATGAGATGGATGAGATTGAAGTGTATGGGAACGAGGCTCAATCTGGCACTCAGCTGGCTACCTATTCTTTTGAGGTAAGGTCTGATTTACTGGATGTCACGGATGATCCGTAAGAGGACTGAAAACCTCCTGTACATTCAAAGTTTCCACCTCATTAATGCTTAAGATGATTTAGTGTTATAATTACATCTATAATTCAGTGTATAAATCTGCAGATTGGTATTCACACATACCAACTTACTTTAACTGTGTAATTGTCATGAGGGAATGGTGAGATATGTGGGGTTGGGGGAAAGTGGAATGCTATGGTTACTAAATGTCAGTGTTTCTGCTGCATTAGCACTGGGAGCGGATATATTCTGTGATACTGAGGCAGAAATTCCTGATAATGTCAAAGAAGACAGAAATAAATAACGGAAACATGAAATAATTGGGAACACTGTGATACTGGAGGGGGATTTGAGCTTTTAGTTGAAGTCACCCTGAACTTTTTTGTGAAGTAATGTTGGAATTTAGCTCATCATTTAGGAAATTTGGTTTAGACAAATCCTGCATTGAACCATACACATCATACAAAGGCAGGAGGTAAATGAGTAAAGAAACCAGAATCTCTAGGCCAAGAAAGAATGTATTTGCTGAGCTCTGCTTTGGATTTTGCACTTTTTAAAAAAGTTCATTTCGATACTGTAGATGAATGCTGGGCATCTCCTCATAGGATACCTATATGCAGGGAGTCCCAGTATGTTTTCTTCTCATGTCAATAGCAACTTGGTTGGCTCGGTCATAATAGCTAAATGGGTAATGGCTGCATTCCCAAAGAGATGCCCACATTGTGAGCCTACAGGTCACCCTCATCTGTGATACATGGATGTTTAAGGCAGATCTCTGGTTGTCCAAGATCGGAGCCAGACACATGGGAAATCCTTGCTGATGACTTTAGTACCAGGGGTTGAGCAGTCAGCAAAGACATGGACAAAGAGGGCAAAAGAAATGAATAGATAGTGGAAATAGAGACCGTCGGAAGGTAAAAACACAAGTTTACTTCATGTTAATGCTGTTCACGTGCACACTGCTGAAGAGACTGTCATTTACAAATTAGCCTGTACAGCCACAACAGACTGCATTCAGTATGGAAGTGATGCACATGCTGGTCAGAGTTCATATCTCGCCTGAGATGGATAGATGCTAACAGCATTCCTACCTCTTTGTGAAAATAGTATGTAGCACTAGTTTATGGCAGGTGGGTCTTTTGAAGGACAGAGGTGAAGGGGAGTGGTTCAGAAATCTGTTCATTGATTGAAGACTGTTTCTGTTGTTTTGATCATTGTGTTCCTAAGGAACTTGGAACATTAGAGCAATGGTGCATCATTGTGTCAAACTTGCTTGATAGTCACTTTGAATTATGGGGAGTAGGGTTGAAGATTGGTCAGAGCTACTCCTGAAACAGCTAAGACCATAAGAACCGAAAGACCTGTGGATGCTGTAAATCGGGAACAAAAACGGAAGTTGCTGGAAAAGCTCAGCAGGTCTGGCAGCATCTGTGAAGGAAAAAATCAGAGTTAACGTAACGGGTCCAGTGACCCTTCCTCAGAACTGATGGTAGCTGGGAAAATGTTGGTTTATATGCAGAAAATAGGGAAGGGGATGGGTTAGGGAGTAAATGAAGGATAAAGCCCGAAGAGAGAGAAGAACAGTTGGATAGACAAAGGAGTTGATAACGATACTATCCAACTGCTCTTCTCTCTCAACGGGCTCTATCCTCTTGTTTATTCCCTACCCCCTTCGCCTCCCTATTTTCTGCATATAAACCAACATTTTCCCAGCTACCATCAGTTTTGAGGAAGGGTCACCGGACCCAAAACGTTAACTCTGATTTTTTTCTTCACAGATGCTGCCAGACCTGCTGAGTTTTTCCAGCAACTTCTGTTTTTGCTCAGGACCATAAGACATTGGGCTGATTGCCTAAGTCTGCTCTGACATTCAATCATGCTGAATGTTTCTAAACTCCATTCTCCTGCATTCTTCCCATAACCCTTGAATCCTTACTAATCAAGAACATATCTATCTCTGTCTTAAATACACTCAATGACTTGGCTTCCACAGCCGCCTCTGTCAATGAGTTCCAAAGATTAACCACCCTCTGGCTGAAGAAATCCCTCATCTCAGTTCTAAAGGGCCATCTCTTCACATTGAGCCTGTGCCTTCAAGTCCTTGTCTTTCCTACTTGTGGAAACATCTCCACATCCAATCTATCCAGGCCTGTCAATATTCTGAAATGTTTCAATCAGATTCCCCCCGATCCTTCTGAACTCCCAAGTACAGACCCAGAGTCTAGAACCGCTCCGCATGTGACAAGCCCTCATCCCTGAGATCATTCTTGTAAACCTCCACTGGATCCCCTCCAGGACCAACACATCCTTCCTCAGATACAGGGTCCAAAACTGCTTACAATGTTGCAAATGCAGTCTGATCAGAGACTTGCATGGCCTCAGCAATACACCTCTGCTTTTGTATTCTAGCCTTCTTGAAACGAATGCTGACATTAGGACTCTCAAGTGTTTTTGTGCTTCAGATTTCCAAAGCCTCTCCCATTAAGAAAATAGTCTATGCCTCTATTCTTCCTACCAAAATGCATAACATCTCACTTCCCCACATTGTATTCCATCTGTCACTTCATTCACTTCTTTGCCCACTCTCCTAGCCTGTCTAGTCCTTCTGCAGCCTCCTTGCTTCCTCAACACTGTCTGCCCCTCCACCTATCTTTGTATCATCTGCAATCTTAGCAACATTGCCCTCAATTTCTTCGTCCAGATTGTTAATGTGTAACGAGAATAGTTGTGGTCCCAACACTGAACCCCATGGACCTCCATCAGTCACCAATTGCCATCCTGAAAAAGATCACTTTATTCCTACTGTCTGCCTTCTGCCAGTCAGTCCTCTATCCGTGCCAGTACCTTGTCCCTAACATATGCATTTCTTTTATTTGGCAGCCTCCTGTGTGGCACCTTGTCAAAGGCCTTCTGAAAAAACAAATAGGTCAAGTCCACTGGCTCTCCTTTGTCTAACTTACTTATTATGCTAACTTACCTCCTCAAAGAATTTCTGACTGATTTGTAAGGCATAACTTGTCATTGATGGAGCCATGCTGATTCAATCCTGTTTTAACATGCATTTCCTAGTATTCCACAGTCTCATTCTTAACAATGGATTCTAAAATCTTACCAGCGACTGAGCTCAGGCTAACTGGCCTGCCACTGGTTTCTGGCCATCTCAAATTGTTAGTATTTGTGTTTGGGGAGTGCGATTCCTAAGGCCAAACCAGGTAATAGTTGGGGTGAACGCTGAGGGATATTGAGATTTTCCTCACTGTTTGGTAATCAAGCAACTGCTTAAAAGTTATTGCCAGTGTGAGAGCTGCTTCATTTGTCAAGATTCCCACAAATACAATTATACTAATTGACAGAAAAAGTTAAAATAGTTATATAGTTGAATACATTGTTCAAACATTTAAAATCTCTTCACGTGCATTGAATTACCTTTGATATAGATTCATTATGATGCTGTTCGTCTAGATTAGCTGTTCAAGTCTATGTGGAATGAAGCCCAGAACCTGGAAACTGGTTTTGTTGAAGAGGCGGGGCTTCCCAGTACTTCATGGAGCAATGAATCCCCGCTGTGTAGCCAGGAAACCTTGTACCTCCTTCCAATTTGTCGCTGTGGCAGATGTCTTCAACAGGGTCCTGCTGCTTGTTGGCCAAAGTCATTTCCTTGGCCATTTGGCTGACATTGTGGCCAAACAGATCTTACGAGGTGATAAAGTGATGGCAGTGAGGTGTGAAGGGATTAACACCCTTCTGGATGTAAGTGTGACAAACTTAAGTATTTTGCTTTCTTGCACAATGGATGAACACTACTTCAAGACAAAGCAAGGTAAAGCTGCTTAGACAGATTGAAGGTGTTCGATAGGATCCCTCCTCCAAATGACAAGAGAAAACGTATGGTTGTACCAGCAGTCCTGAAGATTGTGTTTGAAGCCAACGCATAAGCTTGCACTTCATGGTCATCTTGCTGGCTGGAAATAGCAGGCAGTTATAGTTACTGTTGAAAAGAAGTGTGAAGAAAAAGCCAAGTTTCACTGAGGAAAAAGAAAAAGTTTTGAAACTGAAGAAAGTAGCTGAGAAGAATGTTGAAAGCAAAATAGCCAAGTAAACTGCAGTGCTGAAACAGTATGGTATTCTTGTTTAATATACTCATTCAGGAATTGACAATAAAAAACCCTGTACAAAATAAATTGCAAAAAGACAACAATGGTGTTGATTGCTCCAGAGTTTAAGCTGCCTGCAGTGACTGACTTTCCCTTGTATCTCCCTGCAGGTCTGTGACAGTATATTGAATATTGGCCCTTGTGTAAATGCCTCAATGGGAGAACCTGCTTTCCTTTCCGAAGAGGTGAGTGCGAATTGGTTGTGAAAAGTATATAATTATACAGCAAGATTGACAGGGTTAGGGTGTGGGGATATGTGATTGAGGACAAGCTGGTCCCAACTGATAAAGGTAGCCAAGCTGAGACCTTTCCAGATCAAAGTAAAGTTTGGAAGAGATGCAGTTGGTGGATCTATGTAGCAAGAATCTGCAATCTTTTCTCCTTTGCTGGATCAGGTTTATGCAAATTTATGGAAAATTATGCATGTCCAAGCTGGCAACTGTCAAATTGTCGATATGTGGTTGCCAGTGCAGTTTCACTATTTAAATTAGGTGCTTATAGCTTGCACCACTATTAATTCTAGAGTTTTTGGGAGGTCTGGCAAGAAGAGGCCATCCTAAATTGAAGTTGTGCAGTTCATGGGCATCATCTTTTGTTGCCTTTTACTTTGAGCTAGAAGAGAAAATAGCCTCTCTGCTGGACTGCTGTGAAGCAGGGCCAACTGCTGGCTTAGGTACTTAGCAGTCCAGCAGACACACACACACACCCTCTCCAGCTGCACCACACTGCTACCTGCAGAGGAGGTATGGTGCTTAGGACAGAAAGTGAACTGGAAAAGTCCACACCTATTGGAATTTGACAATGTTATGAAGTGTTTTCAAGTACAAATGGTGAGATTTGAAATCTTCTGCAATAGCGTTATGTTTCACCTTACATCTCATTTTAGTTTCAGAATAATCCAGAACCTGACTTGGAGATAGTTGTGTGTTCAGGATATGGAAAGAATGGTGCCCTCTCTGTTCTACAGGTAATAGACTATGCTGGCTTGTGGTATTGTCTGTCATATTTTCTTGATGGTTTGAAATTAGAAAAGCTTGACATCCGAGATGCAGAACATGGGATTTGTAGTTATGTATTGATTTGGATAGAAAACTGGTTGGCAAATAGGAATCAAAGAAGGGATAAATGGGTCTTTTTCCAAATGAAGGAGTGACTAGTCAGGTAACGCAGTGATCATTGCTAGGGCTCCAGCTCTTCACAGTATACATTAATGATTTGGATGAGGGAACCAAATGTAATATCTCCACATTTGGAGAAAACAAAGCTGGATGGAAGGGTGATTGTGAGGAGGATGCAGAGATGCTTCAGTGTGATTTGGATAAGCTGAGTGAGTGGGCAGATGCAGTATAATATGGATAAATGTGATGTTATATACTCTGGTAACTTAAAACAGGAAGGCAGATTATTATCTGTACAGCTATAAATTGAGCGGATGGGATGCACAGTGAGACCTGGATGTCATTGACCACGTGCATGCTTACCTTCAATAGCTGATGTACAAGAAAGCAAATGTTATAATAGCCTTCATAGTGAGAGGATTTGAGTACAATATATATTAGTGGATTGGAGAAAGGGGGTTAATATACTGCAGTCAAATTTGCAGACACCACAAAAATTGGTGAAAAGGCGATTTGTGAGAGGGATATAAACAGTTTAGAGATATTGATAGGTTAAGTAACTGGGCAAAAAATTGGCGAATGGAGTATAGTGTGGGAAAATGCGAAGTTGTTCATTTTGGAAGGGAGAACAAAGGAACAGTATTATTTAAATGGAGAAAAACTGCAGAAAGCAGCAACACAAAGGGACTTGGGGTCCTTGTGCAAGAAACACAAAGCTAGCAGACAGGTGCAGAAAGTAATCAGGAAGGCTAATGGAATATTGGCCCTTATTTCAAGGGGGTTGGAGTGTAAGGGTAGGGAAGTCTTAGTGCAACTGTACAAGCTGCTGGTGAGACCACATCTGGAGTACCTGTGACCAGTTTGGCCCTTTTTTCAAAGAGAGGCATTGTTTCATTGGAGCCATTGCAGAGGAGGTTCATTAGGATGATCCCTGTATAGGCAGACTGTCTTATGAGCAAAGATTGGACAGGTTGGGACTCCTCTCATTCTTCTGAATTTCAGTACATACTGATCTCATTGAAACATTTAGGATTCTTAAGGGGCTTGACAGGGTAAACATTTGAGAGGATGTTCCCCTCATTGGGGCGTATGGGATCAGAGGGCATAGTCTCAGAATATAGGGGTGCCAATTTAAGATTGAGATGAGGGGGAATTTCTTCTCTCAGGGACTGTGTGCCACAGGGAGCTATAGGGGCAAAGACCTTGTGTATATTTATGGCTATGATAGAAATAATTTTTGATCAGGGGTTACATGGAAAATCCGGGAAAGAGGATTTGAGGAATGTCAAATCAGTAATGAGCCTATTGAATGGCGGAACAGGCTCGAGGGATTGAACAGCCTACTCCAGTTCTTTATGGTCTTGTGGTCTTCTACAATTAAAGTGCTGTGGCAGATAGTATGGAGTTATTTCCATATTTTAAAGCTCCAGTGCTTCCTTATTGAAAATAAAATTGCTTGAAAAGTTCAGCAGGTCTCGCAAAATCATAGAGTCAGAGCTGTACAGCATGGAAATAATTCCTTCTGTCCAACTTGTCCATGCCGACCAGATATCCTGAATTAATTGGTCCCATTTGCCAACATTTGGTCCATATCCCTCCAGACCCTTCCTATTCATATACCTATCCAGATGCCTTTTAAATGTTGTAATTGTACCAGCCTTCACTTCTTCTGGCAGCTCATTTCATACGTGGACCAGCATCTGCATGAAAAACTTGCCCCTTGGGTTTCTTTTAAATATTTCCCCTCTCACTTTAAACCTATACCCTCTAGTTTTTGACTCCCACACCCTGGGGAAAAGACCTTGCCTATTTACCTTATCCATGCCCCTCATAAGAACATAAGAACTAGGAGCAGGAGTAGGCCTGCCCTATAAAACATCTATAAGGTCACCCCTCAACCTCTGACACTCCAAGGAAAATAGCCCCAGTCCATTCAGCCTCTCCTTATGGCTCGAACCCTCCAACCCTGGCAACATCCTTGTAAATCTTTTCTAAACCCTTTCAAGTTGCACAACTTCCTTGCTATAGCAGGGAGACCAGAATTGCATGCAGTATTCCAAAAGTGGCCTAACCAATGTCCTGTACAACTGTATGATGAACTCCCAATTCCTATATTCAATGCACTGACCAATAAAGGCAAGCATACCAAATACCTTAATAAAAACTGAAAGAACTGCGGATGCTGTAATTCAGGAACAAGGACAAAGTTGCTGGAAAAGCTCCGTAGGTGTGGCAGCATCTGTGAAGGCAAAAAAAGAGTTAATGTTTCGGGTCCGGTGTAGAGGAGACCATGTTGTGTGTACTGGTCCCTCCTGCCCTGGAAGAGATCCCAAATATCAGATATCTGAAGCCCTCACTCCTACATCAGCTCTTTAACCATGCATTCAACTGTATTTTCCTATGTCTGGCCTCAGTAGCATGTAGCACAGGGAGTAATTAAAAGATTACAAGCCTAGAGGTTCTGCTTTTTAACTTTTAAATGTAACTTTCTAAGTTACATTTGCAGGACCTCATCTTTCCTCCTGCCCATGCCGTTAGTATCAATATGGACCGTGGTCTCTGGCTGGTCACCCTCCCCTTTCAAAGTATGCAGTGCTTGCTCAGAGACATCCTTGACCCTGGCACCAGGGCGGCAACACACCATCCTGGTGTTTTGCTTGCGGCCATAGAAATGCCTGAGCCCTGACTATACAGTCCCCTGTCACTACCTCACACCTGCACTTCAACCTTCCCTGCTGTATAACCATGCCAGTCCTGCTGCTACTGATCTGGTAGCTGCCGTTACAATCCCCTGACAGGCCACCTCTCAACAGTGTTCAAAATGGCATATTCATTTGAGAGGGGAGTATCCACCAAGGACTCCTGGACTTCAAACCTGCCCTTCCTGGGGTCACCCATTTATCTGGTTGAACCTTTGGTGTGACCAGATCCTGAAACTTCTATGTCTAAAGCTTTCTTCTCCTGTATGCTCCTCATTGAGTGCAAGAGCCACTCCAACTAATCCATGCAGTCTGACAGGAGTTGCAGGCAGGCACACTTCCTGTAGACATAGTTGTCAGGGACATATGACTTCTCCCTGAGCGCACTCATTTCACAGGATGAGTATACCACTCCACAAACACTGTCTAATAATGACTGGATTAAAATAAAAGGAAAGTTCCTACCTTGCCTTACCAGAACATAGAGAATCAAGGGGCAGAGGTGAGTGTAGTGGCCCTCACTAAGGAGAATAGAATAGTCATTTATTGACATTGTATTTTTTTTTACAAAAAAAAGTGAAAAGTTTAAGTCGCCATTTGATGACGTTTACTTTAGTAATAGAAGGCATAGATAAAATTTAAATCAAAGTCCATCTTAGTTAAATTCATGGCTCCTGGGTTTGGGAAAAGACAGTACCACTGCAAGACCACCATACAGGGCCGGAAGCTGCCACCGAAGCAGGCCATCAATGTCAGGCCACTGGAATCCTGGGCCACAAGACCCCGCAGAAGCTGCCCCAAGGAACCATCTCGTCACTGATCCTGGGAAGGAAGAATTCGCATAAGCTGCCCAAAGGGATGCTGGGCCGAAACCACCTCATTGCCAAAGCTGCCGCTGACCTGTGCAACAGAACCCTGGGACATGACGAAGATGCCAAAGCAGACCACCACCAGACACAGCATCAGTGAGGTTGTTGGCTTGCTTGCCGAGCTGGCTGGTTATCGTACAGACGTTTCGTCACTGTGCTAGGTAACATCATCAGTGCAGCCTCCGATGAAGCAATGGTCTAACCTAGCTCAAACCAACTGCAGACATGCACGGGAATTCCTAGAGGCCTAGTCTTCAACCTGTAATGCAGTCCACAAACGTGAATTAGACCCCATGTACAAATCCAGGCAAAGAAGAACCGGAAATGACGCAATCCAACCTAACAGACTGGATCATATAAATTCCAAGCGGAGTAGAACGACAACGCTTCATCTGTTGATGTTATTCAGCGTGGTGACCAAGCCAGCCAACTTGGCGAGCGAACCAACAACCTCATTGTTGGGATTGGGATATCGTAGCTATTATAGAAACATGGCTCAGGGAAGGACAGGACTGGCAGCTTAATCTTCTAGGGTAAAGACGCTATAGGAAAGATAGAAAGGGGGCAAGAGAGGAGGGGGGAGTGGCATTTTTGGTTAGGGATAACATTAACATTAAGTCTGTACTTGGGAGGATATTCCTGGTGAAGTTATTTGGGTGCAACTCAGACATAAGAAAGGGATGATCACTTTATTGGGATTGTACTATAGGCCCTCCAATAGTCAGTGGCAAATTGAGAAGCAAATTTGTAAGGAGATCTCGGATATCTGTAAGAATAATAGGGTTGCAATGGTAAGAGATTTTAACTTTCCGAACGTAGTTTGGGATTGCCGTTGTGTTAAGGCTTGGATGGGGAGAAATTTGTTAAGTGTGTACAAGAAAATTTTCTTATTCAGTGTGTGGATGTACCTACGAGAGAAGGAGCAAAACTTGACCTTCTCCTGGGAAATAAGGCAGGGCAAGTGACTGAGGTGTCAGTGGCTTTGGGGCCGGTGATCATAACTCTTAGTTTGAAAATAGTTATGGAAAAAGATAAACCTGATCTAAAAGTTAAAGTTCTAAATTGGAGGAATGTCAGTTTTGACGGTATTAGGTAAAAACTTTCAAAAGTTGATTGGGAGATGCTATTTGCACGTAAAGGGTCGGTTGGAAAGTGGGAGGCTGTCAAAGATGAGGTAACGAGAGTCCAGAGACAGTATGTTCCTGTTAGTGTGAAGGGGAAGATATGCTGGATGACTAGGGAAATTGAAGCTCTGGTCAAGAAAAAGGAAGTACATGTCAAGTATAGACAGCTGTGATCAAGTGAATCCCTCTGAGTATAAGGGCAGTAGGTGTATACTCGAGGGAAATCGGGAGGGGAAAAAAGGCCACAGGAGATAGCGTTGGCAAATATGGTTAAAGAGAATCCAAAGAGATCCTATAAGTACAGTTAAAGGCAAAAAAGTAACTAGGGAGAGAATAGGGCCCCTTAAAGATCAAAAAGGCTGACTATGTGTGGAAACATGGGATATGAGTGAGATACTAAAGGAGTATTTCGAGTCACTGTTTACTGTAGAGAAGGGTATGGAACCTAGAGAGCTTGAAGAAACAAATAGTGATATCTTGAAAAGTGTCCCTGTTACAGAGGAGGTGGATAAAAACGCATAAAGGTGGATAAATCCCCTGGACCTGATCAGGGTGTATCCCAGAACTTTGGGAAGCTAGGGAAGTGATTGCTGGGCCCCTTGCTGAGATATTTGAATCATCGACAACCATGGATGAGGTGCCAGAAGACTGGAGGATGGCTAATGTGGTGGCATTATTTAAAAAAGGTGATAAGGAAAAGCCAGGGAACTATAGAACGGTGAGCCTGTGGTGGGTAAATTGTTGGAGGGAATTCTGAGGGACAGGATTTACATGTGTTTGGGAAAGCAAGGACTGATTAGGGATAATCAAGGTGATTTTGTGTGGGAAATCATGTCTCACTTACTATGATTTGAAATTTTTGAAGAACTGACATGAGATTGATGAAGCCGGAATGGTGGCCGTTATCTATATGAACTTCAAAGTGTTTGACAAGTTTCCACATGGTAGACTGGTTAGGAAGGTTAGATCACATGGAATGCAGGGGGAGTTAGCCATTTGGATATGGACCAAGGAGAGGCAGAAGGGATTAGTTTAATTTGGCATCACGTTCGGCACAACATCGTGGGCCTGTTTCCATGCTGTACTGTTCAATGTAACATTGGCTTGATGGTACGTGGCAGAGGGTGGCGGTGGAGGGTTGTTTTTCAGTCTGGAGTCATGTGACCAGCGTGATGCCGCAAGGATTGGTGCTGGGTCCACTACCATTTATTATTTACATAAATGATTTAGAATGTGAATGTAGGAGGAATGGTTAGTAAGTTTGCAGATGACACCAAAATTGGTGGTGTAGTGGACAGTGAGGAAGATTATCTCAGACTGCAATGGGACCTTGATCAGATGGGCCAATGGGCCGAGGAGTGGTAGCTGGAGTTTAATTTAGATAAATGTGAGATGTTGTATTTTGGTAAGGCAAATCAGGGCAGGACTTACGCAGTTAATGGTAAGGTCCTGGGGAGTGTTGCCAAACAGACACCTAGGGGTGCAGGTTCATAGTTCCTTGAAGGTGGAGTTGCAGGTAGGCAGGGTCATGAAGAAAGCGTTTGATACCCTTGCCTTTTATTGGTCGGTGCATTGAGGGTGTAGGAATTGGGATGTCATGTTGCGACTGTATAGGATGTTGGTTAGGCCACTTTTGGAATACTGCGTTCAGTTCTGGTCTCCTTGTTATTAGAAAGATGTTATTAAACTTGAAAGGCTACAGAAAATATTTACAAGGATGTTGCTGCGGTTGGAGAGTTTGACTATAGGGAGAGGCTGAATAGGCTGTGGTTTTTTCCTTGGAGTGTTGGAGGTTGAGGGGTGACCTTATCAAGCTTCAGAAAATCATGAGTGGTGTGGATCGGGTGAATAACCAAGGTGCTTTCCCCAGGGTAGGGGAGTCCAAAACTAGAGGGCATAAGTTTAAGGTGAAAGGGGAAAGATTTAAAGGGACCTAAGGGGCCATTTTTACACCCAGATGGGGGTACATCTATGGAATGAACTGCCAGAGGAAGTGGCAGCTGCTGTGCAACCGTAACCTTCTATGCCGCACGCACTCTGTTTAAACACCCTATTATCTGTATGTCCTCTTATGTTGTGATCTGTCTGAACTGCATGCAAAACAAAACTTTTCATTGTACATAGGTACGTGCGCCAATAAATAAATCAAAAATTCCTAGTGGAGGCTGGTACAATTACAACATTTAAAAGGCATCTGGATGGGTACATGAAAAGAAAGGACTTAAAGGGATATCCGCCAAATGCTGGCAAATGGGTCTAGATTAATTTTGGATATCTGGTCTGCATGGACGAGTTGGACTGAAGGGTCTGTTTCCTGTGCTGTGTATCTCTATGACCAATTGGACATGTGATTCCAGATTCCATTGCAAATGTGGTTGATTCATTAACTGCCCTCTGAAATATGTTAGCAAGCCACTCAGTCCATTAAGCTTAACAAATGGGGGCTTTGCCAGTGACTTTTCTGAATGAATATATTATTACAGCTGAAGTATAATTGTTATTCCAAGTTTCTCTATATTGGCGAAGGCTTCAGCTCTTGATATCTCCAGAAACTCAGCATTCCTTTAGCCCAAGAAAAACTGCAGTAAATAACTGGTGTTCTTGTTCTTCTGCTATATTTCTGAAAAGGCAGCAGTTCTTTTTGTGATTTATAGAGATTGTGATGGCTGCATGGACAGTGTCTCTAAAACATTTCATGAACGACATTTACATTTCTCTCAGATGCTCTGGCTAAGTGTATCGGTGGATGTTAATTCTGGGAAAAATAGCACCCTTTTAATTCCAAACTTTGCCCAAAAATGACATTGTAACTCTCAGCATTTACAACAAAAACAGCAAGAAAAAAATACCGGAGATAGTAGGAACTGCAGATGCTGGAGAACCCAAGACAACAAGGTGCAGGGCTGGATGAACACAGCAGGCCAAGCAGCATCATAGGAGCAGAAAGGTTGACGTTTCGGGCCTAGACCCTTCATCAGAAAAGCTTTTCTGATGAAGGGTC